TAACAGGAGTCTGCTGTCTTTAAGTTGGAGGAATGCATGTCTCATCCTGAACCACAGCCAATAAATATTTATGAAACACCAGCTACGTCGAGGCGCTGTGCCAGGTGCTGGCCCTGCTGCAGTCATGGCCTTTCCTGCATGGAGTTTACCATCCAGTAGGGAAGACAGCTATCAGCAAAAAATCCCAGTTATGACTGAGTGCTGTGGGGACAAGCACAGGGTGCTGTGGAAACATAGCAGCAGGTCCTCACCTGGTCTGGAGAGACAAGAGAGGATTAGGACTTGAGCCTGGGTTTCTTTTACTAAGATGTGAGACTTGGAGGAGTGCATCAGGAGAGGGGCATGTGGGATTATGAGTTTCACTTGGGATCTGTGTTTTTTTTTTTACTTTATCTTTATTGTTGAAAATGTTACAGATGTCCCCTTTTTTCCCCCTTGACCCCTCCACCCTACACCCACTCCCCACCCGGGGTCTTCACCACACTATTGTCTCTGTCCATGGGTTATGCATATATGCATGTAATTCTTTGGTTAATCTCTCCCCACTCACCCACCCCCAACTTCCCTCTGAGATTTGTCAGTCTGTTCCATGTTTCTATGTCACTGGATCTATTTTGTTCATCAGTTTATTATGTTCTTTAGATTCCACATATAAGTGAGGCCATGTGATATTTGTTGAGCTGAAGGTGCCTGTGATGGGGAGATAATCACTAAGCCATTGATGATGCAGTTCTGAAGGTGATTGAGTTTACCAATGAGATTTATATGGTAATTGATGCCATGCAGATATGCAAGCTCTTTAAGGCTGTATATGGAGAATTATAAGAGAATACTGTTTAAGAAAAAGCCCAAGGAAACACCAATATATAGACATTTACACAATGGAATGCTACATGGCTATAAAAAAGAAGGAGCTCTTACCCTTTGCAACAGCATGGATGGACCTGGAGATTATAATGCTAAGCAAAATAAGCCAGGCAGAGACAAATACCATATGATCTTACTTATATGTGGAATCTAATGGGGAAAAAACAAACTGATGAACAAAATAGAACCAGAGGTATGGTTGCATGTCAGAGGGGAGGGGTTGGGGTGGGGAGACAGGGTGAAAGAAAGTGAAGAGAGTAGCCAAAGGAAATACGTGCATAGCCTACAGTGACAGACAACAGTGTGGTGATGACCACAGGGAAGGGGGAGCAAGGGCTGGGGGGAGGTGGGCAAAGGGGGAGAAATGTGGGACATCTGTAATAGAGTCAACAATAAAAAAATGTTTAAAAAAAAACTGAGTACCAGCTAATGTTCTCAGCAGGAAAAAAAAAAAGACTGTTAGAGAAGAAAATAATGACAGTTACTGAGAATAAATGCCAAGAAAAGTATCCAGAAAACCCAATGAGAGTGTTTTAGAAGGAGGGAAGAGTCAATATTGTTACATGCTAATTAATAAAAAATGAGAAAATAAGCTTGAAAAGTGGCTTGGATTTGGTTGATATGCTATATTTGTGGTAACAGAGGCTGTTGTTACAAATAATGAGAATGAAATCAATTATTGCAGGACTAACAGATCATGTATCATAGAAATATGTTCATTTCCATTCAGGTTATTAATGGACAGTTATTTTTTCCTAAAGATACTGGACACAAAACATGACAGGAAGAAATCAAACAATCATCTCATACTTCTTCCTCCAGGGCCTGCCAATTGAGCCGGAGCGGCGAAACCTAGTCTATGCCCTGTTCCTGGCCATGTACCTTACCACCATCCTGGGGAATCTTCTCATAATTTTCCTGATTCGCCTGGACTCTCACCTCCACACGCCCATGTATTTGTTTCTCAGCAATTTGTCTTTCTCTGACCTCTGCTTCTCTTCGGTGACCATTCCCAAATTGCTGCACAACATGCAGAGCCAGGACCCATCCATCCGCTATGCAGGCTGCCTCACCCAGATGTACTTCTTCCTGTTTTTTGCAGACCTGGAGAGCTTCCTCCTGGTGGCCATGGCCTATGACCGCTACGTGGCCATCTGCTTCCCCCTGCACTACACCACCATCATGAGCCCCAAGCTCTGTCTGTCCCTGGTGGCGCTGTCCTGGGTGCTGACCACGTTCCATGCCATGTTGCACACTCTGCTCATGGCCAGGTTGTGTTTTTGTGCCGAAAACAAGATCCCCCACTTTTTCTGTGACATGTCTGCTCTGCTGAAGCTGTCCTGCTCGGACACTCGGGTTAATGACTTGGTGATATTTATCATGGGAGGGCTTATTCTGGCCATTCCGTTCCTACTCATCATCACGTCTTATGTGCGAATCATGTCTTCCATCCTCAAAGTCCCTTCTGCTAGAGGCATCCACAAGGCCTTCTCCACCTGTGGCTCCCACCTGTCTGTGGTGTCACTGTTCTATGGGCCGGTTATTGGTCTCTATTTATGCCCGTCAGCTGATAATTCTACTGTGAAGGAGACGGTCATGGCTCTGATGTACATGGTGGTCACACCCATGCTGAACCCCTTCATCTACAGCCTGAGGAACAGAGACATGAAGGGAGCCCTGGCAAGAGTCTTTTGTAAGAAGAAAATTTCCTTCTCTGTATGATGGTAAAGCTTGGATTTTTATTTATTTATTAAATTTATTTGGGTGACATTGGTTAATCAGATTTTATAGGTTTCAAGTGTACATTTCTATGATACATGACAAAAGACGAAATGTTGCCAACAACATGGATGGATCTTGAGAATATCATGCTAATCAAAGTAAGTCAGAAATAGTTCAGAACCATATGATTTCACTCATATGTGGGATATAAAAGTGAAAGCAACAAATGAACAAACAAGAAAAATAAACAAAAACTCATAGACACAGACAACAGTATGGTGGTTACCTGAGGGAAGAGGGATGCAATGTAGTGAAGGGTAAAGGGGGCCAAATACATGGTGTCCAGCAGGGGTTTTTTAAAACAGACTTTGAGGAGACATCTATAAGAATCCCTAAGAAATCAATCAAAAATGTTTAAAATAAACTCAGGCTTGTACGTTTGATTTTATAACAAACATGGGTATTTCAAATCAATATGAAAATGAGGTACTATTCAAGAGATGGTGTTGAAATAATTAGCCACGTACTTGGGAAATAAAAATGAACCTCTATGTTTGCAGCCTACATAAAGGCAACTTCTAAACAGATATATAAAAAGCTAAATATATAAAATAGGAATTCCCACCATTATGTGTGTTAATTTATGAAAATAAAAAATATTTGAAACCTTTAAATATACATAAAAACCTTAGCAGAAAATTAAACTCTAACTTCATTTTTCTCTAAATGCTTCCCAGTGGTCCCAGTATCCCAGAACCGTTTCTCTTCCTCTGATTTCAGATGCTACCTTTATCACTAAGTTCTCTATATACTTGAGTCTATTTTTCTGCTTTAAATTCTGCTCCATCAACCTGCCTATTCATGAGCCAGTACCATATTTTGCATGAATAAATATGCTTTCTTCATACATGCTGGTTTTAAAGTGTGTGCCATACCTTTGGCACTCTTTCCTTCAAATGGTGAAGCCTAATTACCCTCTTCTTAAATGTGGTCTATACTTAATGATTCGCTTCTAACAAACAGACTGTAGTACAGTGGTGACTTCCAAGGCTAGGTCATAAAAATAACAACTTCCACCTTGATGACTCACTATTAGATTACTTACCCTAGGGGAAGCCAGCTACCATGTCATGAGGATGCTCAAGCAGCCCTTTGTAAAGGCCCACATAGTAAAAACAGGCCGCCTGCCAACAGAAAGCACCCACTTGGCAGTCATTTGCATGAGCCACCTTGGAAGTGGGTCCTCCTGAGGGACCACAGGCCAGAACTGCCCAGCCAAGTTACTCCTGAAATCCTGACTCACTGAAAATGTGAGAGATAATACTTACTGTTTTAATCCACTAATTTGGGGATGTGGGGGTAACTGGCTATGCAGCAATAGATAACTAACATAATATATCTAAGGCTTTATAATATACAATATAACTATTATCTATTGTTCTTTTTTGGAATTTTCTTGACAATTCTCATTTTCTTGCATAACCTTTAGTATCAGCTTGGTGCGCGTGCATGTATGTGTATATAAAGAAAGAGAAATTACATGCCACAAATTAGAGAAAAATCAACATCTTTTTCTTCCTACCCAAGAAAATGATTTCTTTTTCCATTTGTCCAAGTCTTCTTTTCTGTGCTTCATTAGTATTTTAAAGTTTTGTTCTATAATTTCCATATTTATCATTGAGTCTTAACTAGTATTAGAATTTTTTCTATTTTAAATGGTATCTTTATCCATTTTACACTCTAATGGTGGTGGGTAATTTAAATACCACCTACTAATGATTTCTGCATATTATGTTTTCTATTCTAGCGCCTTACTAAGTTACCTCATTTTTGCAGTAGTTTCTCAGTTGATTTTCTTAGGTTTTCCATGTATACAATTATATCATCTGCAAAGAGCAATAATTCTTATACCTCAAATTTTTCTTTTATCTAATGTAGTCGCTGGGTCCCAGAATATAAATTCCATAAGTTCATAGATTTTTGTTACTTCTTATAGTGCTTTGTCTCTAGCACCTGAAACACTGCTCGGCACAAAGTATATGCTCATTAAATATGTGAAGTAATTAAATGAACGGTGCAGACTAGCAGCTCTAGTATAGTGCTTAGTAACAGTACTAATAGTGGGCACCCTTGTCGCCGTCTTNTGTGTAGACTAGCAGCTCTAGTATAGTGCTTAGGAACAGTACTAATAGTGGGCACCCTTGTCGCCGTCTTCTTGACTTTAGTGGGAATGTCTCTATATTTCTCCATTAAGCTTTATGTTGGCTTTTGGGATAACTCAAATGCATTATTATCTCATGTTAAATAAGTATTCCCATTATATTGAGTGTTTTTATCTGAAATGGTTGTAGAATTTTAGCAAATATGCCAGTTTTATAAAGACAGTAAAATTATTTTTCAAAAACTCTTCACACATTTAAAAGGATTTAAATATTTTAATTCAACAAGTGAAATATAGAAAAGCAACAGCTATAAAACCATGGGTATAGTAATTTAAACAATAACAGAAAAGTGCTTTAAGTTATACTATTTAAACATCACTATTTAAATTTCATTCATTACATTGGTATAATACCTCATCTCAGTATCTACAATTTTGACAAACGCTTGAAAAGTTTTCTGTTCAGAAACAGCTGCTGGTCTGACAGAGACACATTTGAAAATATTCTTTTTCTGGTCATAGTTTCCAACACACCTATGAACTCGGCCTCTAATCAGTCTTGGAAGTTCACGATCCTGTTTTTAAAAAGATAAATATCAATAAAGTCATTTATTATTTCATTTAAATTTCAACTTTTTGAAACTAATTATATGATCAACTAAATATGACTCACTCCAAAACGCTGCAACTCCCTTACCTGACTTAGGGCCCCACTCCTGATAAGACCATGGTAGCTAGGCATATATGAGTGCCCTGCTAGGGGAAAGACCCTCACCTGGATAGGGATTCTTACAAGCTAGCAAGCTGCTGCTCCTTAAAAGACTAATTTTCAATGTATTGGCACATGAATTATTCACTTCTGTAAGACTGCCAGAGTTCTACTTCCAGTAGATGGCAGAAAGGTAGTTCATATCAAATCTCCAACTAAGAACAACTGGAATAGCCAGATAAACACTTAAAAATTTCCTCATAGATTTCAGAGAGATACCAAGGCAGTGAGGAATTAGAGACCCCATCTGGGAAAGGGTAAGAGTCCAGAATAAGACCTGATATTTGGGGATGCTTTCCTCCTGGGGTATCTGTCAATTATAGTCAAGGCAGCTGAGAGCACAAGAAACTGAGCAGAGCTTTTGACAGGCTCATAGGGCTGGGAGGAAAAAAAATATAATCAGAGGCCCCTAGAGAAAAGAGATTCTGGTGACCACTCCTATCCCCGCCCCAGGTTTAGAACACTAAGCCTGGAGTGGGGACCCAAAAGGGCTTTGCCTTAATGGAACTAGTAAACCAGAAAAAGATCAGCCCACATCAAATCCTCTTGATCATGAGTAAATTTAAACTATTCTGGGATTGCTTTCACTAAATGGTCATAAAAAGCATTAACTATGAGGGATATATTGATTATTGCTAAAAGAACTATGTTAAAGTGAAGAATTTCTGTTCCTCAAAAGCCACCATTAAAACTCAAAGTGCAAATCAGGAAGTATGAGAAAATATTTGCAATATACATAATGGACAAAGAATGTGTACCCAAAATAGATTTTTAAAAACCCTCCTATGAATCAATAACAAAAAGACAAATAATTAGAAAAAAAGAACATGAGGCCTAAACAGACTTTACAAAAAAAGATACCTAAATGGCCAGTAAGTATATAAGGTGCTCAACTCTCAGTCACCAGGGAATTGTAGAGAAATAAGATAGCACTAAATACCCACTAGAAGAGCTAAAATAAAAAAGACTGACATACTAAGTGTTGATAAGGATGCAAAGAAACTACACTCACCTACACTGATTGTAAGTGTATAAACTGGTACAACCCTTTGGAAAATTCTTTAGCAATAACTACTTATTAGAACATACACATGCACTATGATGCAGCAAATTTACTCCTAGGTATATATCCAACAGAAATGCATGAATATGCACAAGACATATACAAAAATATTCACAGAGCATTACTCATAATAGCAAAAAATCTGTAAATAACCCAGGTGCCCACCAACAGTAGGATATAAAACTAGACTGTGGTATATACAGACAACAGAATACTGTACACAAAAATATAAATAAACTATAGCTAAATGCAACAACAAAGATGAATCTTACATTGTGTTGTGTGAAAGAAATCAGACACAAAAGAAAACAAACCATATGATACTATTCACATAAAGTTTTAAAAGAGGCAGAATTAATTTATGATATTAGAAGACAGGACAGTGATTACTTTTAGGTAGGAGATAGGAGGTAGTGAATGGGAGAAGGCACAAGGATGCACAGAGTAACAGCAATGTTGTATTTCTTAACCTTGGTAATGTTCACTTTGTGATACTTCCAGAACTACTGAGTTGTGCAATTTGCTGTATAAAGTTCTTTATTTTAAAAGTCGTAAGAGCCCTAGCTAGTTTTTCTCAGTGGTTAGAGCATCAGCCTGTGGACAGAAGGGTCCTGGGTTCGATCTGGCCAAGGGCACGTACCTTGGTTGAGGCTCAGTCCCCGGCCCTGTTCTGGGCCCGTGCAGGAGGCAACCAATCCATGTGTCTCTCTCACATCGATGTTTCTCTCCCTCTCTCTCTCTCTCCCTCCCTCCCTCCCTTCCACTCTCTCTGAAAAGCAATGGAAAAAATAGCCTCGGGTGAGGATTTTTTTAAAAAGTCATAAGACTAAAGAAAAATAAGCATTCAAGATATTTTAGAAATTAATAACTTGGATAATTACTATTTCTTGATCTACTGTGTGTCAGACACTGTACATTCATGTTTTATCATCTAATCTCCAAAACAACCTTTCAAAGTTAGAAATAGTCTCCCCATTTTACAGATAAAACAACTAAAACTCAGAAAGTTTAAGCAGCTTACTCAAGGTCATAAAGCTAGTAAATGATGGAATAAAAACTAGAATCCATGTCTGATTTCAGAATTATAGCCAATTTCAGAATGAATGCCAAACTCTTTTACAAAGTATCTAAGTCTTATAAAGTCTCCAGACTTCTTGTGATGTCCAGCCTCCTTTGTCACCCCAGCCTTATCACGAAGCGTCTTCCTTATACTCCACCTCACTCTGCCTTCCTGCAACTTCAGAAACATTACCCTTACCTCCATCACTTACTAACTTTACACTCTGGTAATTATNCTTTATCACGAAGCGTCTTCCTTATACCCCACCTCACTCTGCCTTCCTGCAACTTCAGAAACATTACCCTTACCTCCATCACTTACTAACTTTACACTCTGGTAATTATAAACTACTTACAGTTTCCTATACAATCCAGGCTCTTTCTCAGCTTCCTGTCTTTGAATATGCTGCTCTCTCAATTTAGGGTGCATTCCTCCCTACCTCTTCCCCTCCTCCCCATACTTTGGTTTATTAGTCCTTAAATATCTAAAATAAGGTTACTACATTCTTCAAACTTTTCCCTGATCTTCCTATCTACTTCTATAGCCCTGCATATACCTCTGTCATACCACTTATCATACCACAATGTAACATTTATATAACTGTCTTTCTACCTGAGATTATAAACTCTTTGAGAGAGCCATTTACCACTTAAATTCCAATTTATATCCATTGCATCTAGCACAGCACCAGGCACATAGTAGGCTCTCCATACCAGTTGAACAAATAACTTTAATATCAGAATTAAAACCAAACAAAATGTTGAAGGTACTACTAAAGTGTTAACAGCATTTGTACTGCAATGAAATTACAATCTGCATTTGTATGATCTGTTGGCATAGACTTTGCAAAGAATACTTGGACAAATACTTACTATTTCATAAAATACACAAGGCAGAGTATTTTTCCCATCTCTTATAAGAAAATTCTTTGAATGATATGGTCCAGGTGTAACAGCTGAATCAAGAACACCTAAGTAACATTAAAGGGGGTGGGGGTGAGTGCTGGTAATATGCAAAGAAAATTTAACAAAGAGAAGTTGATTATTTAAATAACTATTCCCACACCAACTTCTCTCATAGTTTTATTTATACAATAATAAAGAAGACATTTAAAGAGGGAAAGATATTTCTGAAACTATTTTATACTAGGGGAAACAAAACTTCTGGCCTTCTCCAACTTAGTAACAGGTTATATGCCAAAGTTCATACAACTGACAATAGTTGGCCATCTGAATCACTTTCTTAGAATGTATTCTATAAAGTGGTTAATTCCCCAGACCAGTATACTAAATTATAATAATGAAATACACACATATAACTAATAAGCATCATGGTTTAATGAAAAAAATAAACATTGAATTAGAATCAAAAGGCATGTATGAGTCCCAGTTCTTCAACTTACTAAACTGAGCAAATTGCTTAACCTTTTTCAAATCTGTCTCATCTATAAAATGTAAATAATAATTCATGTTTATCTCAAGAAATTATCATCAAATAATAGCATTATTTATTCCTTTAATAACCACCTACTGAGTACTGATAGTGAAGATTTGTTATTTTGAAGTCAGTCTCCATTTCCCCTAATAATACCAAGATTTTCCTTTAGAAAACCTTTCCTAAGTGATTCTTAGCCATATAATTTGAATGAAATTTGTCCCCAACCCAGATGCAGGAGTGACTTGAGATTGACTTAAACCAATTAGTGTATCCCATTCCCCAGCTACAGAGTGCAGGCAGGGTTTAGGTGATGGACTTGTTACCAATCAGAAAATGATATACAAGGGGTCATTTGCTAGTCTCTGGAAAAGAGCAACCAGTAGAAACCATCAAAGAATGTGACACCGTGGTATACAAGTAGGTGGTATAGAGAACTTTGATAATCATCTTAATACCAAAAGGGAAGAGTCAGAAGCTACTAGACAGGCCATATTTGGAACTTTAGGATGAAGACAATATTGTAGCAGGACCGAAAATGGCTAAATCCCAAAAACATAATACTGGGTGAAAATGCAAGCTGTGTATTTTAAAACACAAAAGCAATTAAAAGGCCACATAAATTTATGAAATCAGACGTATATAGTAAAATTATAAAAACATGGACAGGAAAGATATCACAGTGATTATCTCTAGAGATGAAGAAAAATGGATGGGGGTTTCAAGTCTATAACATGGGCATGTGGATATTATATTCTCTATTTTTTCCTGTATGTTTAGAATATTTCATCAATTAAATTAAATAAAATATTTATTTTACTTTAACTATTGAAAGAAATATGTTCTGAATCTCTACTATTACTTATCTCTTCATCCTAAGTAAAATCAAATTCCAGAAATATTNTAAATTAAATATTTATTTTACTTTAACTATTGAAAGAAATATGTTCTGAATCTCTACTATTACTTATCTCTTCATCCTAAGTAAAATCAAATTCCAGAAATATTCTATAAAACTCTCCCCCTTTAAAATATTAATTTAGAAAACAGAATAATTGTAGGGTGCTCATATCAGTAAAGTGTTCTTTACAAATGTTCTTTCAGAGTATTTAAAATATGATTTAATTTATATACAAAATTACTACTGGATTTAGTCAAATATAGTAGAAAGAACACTAGATTGAGAATATCCATTTTTGCTGCTAATTAGCTTTGTGATTTTAGTCAAGACTATTTTAATTATTTGCCTCATTTCCTCACAAACCTCAAGGGTTGAGTAAGATTACCTGCAATAATCTTTTCAGTTTTATCATTACAATTCAGAATACTACTACCATAAATAACCAAATACATTTTAAGTCACACAAATCAATGACAGACCCAGGAACTGAAGAAAATCCTAATTATTTATAATCTCCTTTCGCAAATGTTATTTTTCTTAAAGATTTCCTAGGTATTCCTACTGACATTCAAAACTGTTATCTAGCCCAGCCAGTGTGACTCGGTAGTTGAACATCAACCCATGAACCAAGAGGTCACCAGTTCAATTCCCAGTCAAGACACATGCCCAGGGTTTTGGGCTTGATCCCCAGTATGAGCTATGCAGGAGGCAGCTGATCGATGTTTCTGTATCTCTATCCCTCTCCCTTCCTCTCTCTCTAAAATCAATAAAAACATATTTTTTTAAAAAACTATTACCTAAATAGTATTACTTAAGTATTTTTGAAGTATTATACTTACCCAATATTTCAAAAAGAAGTACAGTTTTGGGGGCATGTTCACGCCAATACTTCATGCTTTCAATAACTACAGATATAATTCTTAAAGAATTATTTTTTTCCTTAAACTTTAACTGATACAATGAGGCATCCTTCTGAAAAACACAAAATGACAGCATTAGAAAAACCTTTCATATTTTTCATCATACTCTTTCACTTTCTTTATAAAGATTCTAGGTCTTTATAATAGGCACATGTATAAAATATGTAAAATAACTATTGAAAATTTTAGTACAGTTATTCCCATAAATTAAAGGCATCATTAGCACTTTATAGGAGGAGAAACTAGGATACACTTAGAGACAATGAAGAAAAGAATTATTTATATGGGCATTCATTCATTCAATCATTCGTCAAATTTTTTTTAAGATATCATGTGCCAACCCTGTGATAAATACAAGTGAAGAGAACACAATTCCTTTCCTTAATGTGCTCATACTATAGGAGGGGAGTCAGACACATTCATTCATTCCCAAAGTACTTATTGGTACCTACTCTGTGCCAAACATAGCAAATGAGAGAACAATAATGAACAAAACAGACAAGATCTACCCTCATACATTTTGCCATCCAGTGGGGGATTCAGAAAATAAACAATAACTATATAATAGAATGTAGGGAATTGATATATCTTATACATTTGAAATCAGGGTAAAAGGATAGAGAGACGTAATTATTTTAAACAGGTTGTTGAGTGAGGACTGTGGGAACAGCAAGCGTAAAGACCCTGAGATGGGAATGTATTTGGCATTTTTAAAGATCAACTAAGAACACAATGTGTTAAGATACTAATTTTCCGGGGATGATGATGGTACTTTCCTTTGTGAGGGCAGGGCATATCGAAGAACACTGGATGGGACATTGCTTTCCAACTATAATTACCTTTCCTCCCTCTTCTCCTCCTAATCAAGGTCTGACTGCCTCCCAGTGAGGACTATGGCCATAATGAGCCTCTGTTATTAAGGTGACTATGTCACATCATTCTTATGTACAAGGAACATAAGGTTGAGAACCACTGTGAAACATGCTATTTTAGTCAGATTACCAGGAAAGAAAGAAAAAAAAGAATTACCTCAGATGGCTTACTGAAAAGACTGCTTACAGACATTTGGGCAGAACAAACCTAAGGCACTTAAGTACTCAAAAACTAACAATACAAAACTTCTATCACTCCTAAGCTTAAAGGACAAGGGGAGGAAATAAACTACCAAACTTGTGAAAGCTAGACTCATGGAGGGGCTATATGACACAGGGACACAACTACTGCCTGTGACACTACATTTAAGCAGGGAGGACAAAGGAAAACCCATCCTCTCTCCCCACCCTTTGATGTCCTGCCAGTGACTCCTACTGGCTGACCCCTAACAGAAGTCAGCTAAGGGATCCCAGGATGATGCACTACGTAGTACAATCCAGCTTTCCAAAGCACAGAAAAGGGCACAGAGTAAACAATCTACTGGCCAGGGTCAAGGGAGGGAAGATAGCAAAACAGTACACATAATATATAAAAGACATTTACAAAGAACAACAGTGAGGAGTGGAGACAGGAAGTAAGGCTGAAGGAAGTACAGATATAGGAAAGAATATAAGCCAAAGTAGAGTCATATTAGAGTGCATATCATATTCAGAGAATTGTAAATAGCCTAAAAATGGCAAGTGCATTGGAGAATTAGTGGAACATGGAACATGAGGCTGGAAAGGTAAAATAAAACCAGATTATAGTAAAATAAGACCAGATTATACAGCAAAGGTCAGCAAACCTTTGTGGTCCATACCTAACTTGCTGTCTGTTTCTGTACACTTTTCTTGGAACATGCCACACTCATCCATTTATGTACTGTCTATGACTGCTTTTAAGCTACAATGGCAGAATTAAGTGGTATAGTTGAGTTGTTGCAAGGGAGACAATATGGCCCATAAAGCCAAAAATACTTACTATCTGGCCCTTTACAGAAAAAGTTTGCTGACTCTTGTTACAAAAAACTTAGATTGACATATGAAGAGCTTGGAGAATTTCTGCAAGTAATGGATAAACTGTCATCATCTTAATTATTAGTAAACAGTGAAATTCAGAACCCACTCTAAAATAACTATGAAAGAGAGCAGCTATTCACAACCTGTAAGGAAATATCTTGGAAACTAATATTCACTCACTCCAATGGACCTGGGTATTTATAGTAATCAAGTAATGGCATGTCATGGGATTGATTTCAAATGTTCTTATCTCTGTAATTTTCTGAATACTTATTTATCTCATTTTTACATGTAAATACAAAACATAAATAATTCATATTAAAAGTTTACCTTGAGAGTGTTGTCTTCTGGAATATCATCTAACATTTTTTTCTTAAATTGATTTTGTTCGCTATTGGGCTTAAATGCCTGTGATGCACTGTTTTTGTCTAGGCCTCTCATTGTGGAACCAGGTATTTTTGACCAATGTGTTTCTCTGAGGACTTCACTTTCTCTTTGGTGAGATAAGTTAGGAGGTTGACATATTCTTAATTGTTTCTGTTGTTGTACTCCGAAACTCACTGGACAAGAATTTATTCCATCATTTGCCTCTAGGTTTGTTCTTTTGCATTGAGTCCTAAAATCATTTCTATCCCAAGTTCTGAAGCTGGTATTTTTGTTGCCATCTCTGTAGCTGTAATAGTTTTTAAAAAAATTAGTGTTAGTTTTTGTATCCATATAGTTTTTCTTAATTAAAAAAATTATTAAAATTTGCATTTATATGGCAATTTGTGGTTTATAAACTACTTTGTAACTACTGACTAGTTAGAAATTCTACAGCATCACAACAACTATATAATGTATTATACCTCTCTTTTCAGGTGAGAAAACTGAGACTTAGGGAGGAAGTAACTTGTCCAAAGTCAAAAAGAAAATTACCGACAATACAGAACCCAGAGAACCCTAGTCTCCCAACTCAGAGTCCAGTGCTATAAAGTATATTTTTAAACTATACAAGCCTTCACATAACAGTGGTTGTCCATGAGTGGTAAGATTTTGAGAACTTCTGCTTACTTCTTTACATATTCTTTTAAATTTTTCTACAAAGTAAAATTTTAAGAAGTTAAACTAATGGCTTATCAGTGATTTTAAATCACAAGAATAAATTTAGGCAAATTAGCTAGCTATTTGATTAGAAATTTTGTACTTTCACTACAAAGCTTAAAAGCCCTACTTATGAATCTGTTGCAGCATTTTACTAGCTAATTAAACTGAGTTGTATCAGTTGATCGGAACATAATATTAATGAGGCCAAAATAAAAAATATAATTTCTGAGCTGGCTAGTTAAGAGTATTACAGAGACAAACTGGTATAAGTCACAAATTCTTATTTCTGAATAATTTTCCTGAAAATTTCACAAGAGGGCAAATAATACACAACCCATTTTGTTAGGGAAAATAATTCAAAAAAAAAAAAAAGGTGTAGGTTCCCTAGTGACCAGACAAGTACAAACTGTATGGGGCCTGAAGCTTGTATGATTTGAGAAGCCTTCTTAAGTAAATTAGGTACAAAATTAGGTATGAAAATAATGAGAAAATAAAAAATAATTTCAAAATTTTAAAAGTTGATAAAAACCACAAACATCACAATATTCAGGAAAAATATTATTAGTATTATTGTTAATTAACTACCCGATACACCTCTATGAGACATTTTTCATACGTTGATCGCCTCTTCATATACCAGCAATTTTATTTTCAAGAGAAAGAATAGGAAGAATTTTGTCTTCCCACTCTCATGGCTGTGGAAATTACTTTTATTATTCATAGTTTAGAAAAGTTTCTTTCAGCTTCACAACTCCTTACGGGTAACAGCACATCTGCAACTTCCTCCAACATTTTTGCTCAGGAGGTGCTCCTAGCCTAGACAAGTCCTGGGAGAGCATGCCCACACAATGCTACTTTTGCAGCCAATCTGGCTCAGCCAGGACCTCAATATCCCAACTAGACCATGAAGTCTAAGTTGAAGTGGCTTCTGAGCAGGGAAGGGAGCAGTGTCCCACACAGATCCTTCTCTTTGAGGACAAAGATAGGGTCCAGATGGTCAATGAGATCCTCCAAAACAGGCAGTTGTTGGGGATAGGTGGATGTGAAGGTAAAGCCTAGATTCTGAATCTAAGCATAGAACTAGTTAAAAGATCTTCAACAGATTATGAACTGCCTTCTTGGGTTTTCAAATGTTTTCTGTTGCTGAATTTTCTGTTAATTTTCCAACAGTCTGACAGATTATCTATTATTTCAAACTGTAATATCTAATATTGGGTGGCTGTCCAGATTATAATCTGTTACTTAATTCTCTAATGCCTGTCAGAACAGACTTTCTCCTAGCACCTTCAGCTGGAACTATGCCTCCAAAAACCATCTCAAAACCAACAATAGGCCTAGTTTCAAGCCCTGGTCCTGAAAAAAATAACTGACTGGTCCTGAGGAAATTTGCATGAGTAATAAAACTGAAACTCATTTTTTAAAAATAAAAATTTTTTTGATGTATTTATTAACCACTTAGTTAAAAGTTTCCCCTTTAAAAAAAATATGGTATCTTTAATAAAGTCAGGGTAATATTAACTTCGCAGGGTTTTTGTAAGGATTATTAAAATAACATATCGAAGCATTCAAAAATTACTAATATATGATACATATTTGGTGTTGTTTTTCCAATACTTTGTTCCCCAATTATTTCCTTCAGTAGTTGCCACTTACCCAATACTAAAATCCAACCTAAAAAATAACCCATGCTCCTTTTTCTATCTATTCCTTTTTTTCATAATATTTAGGCATTAAACTTAGATCCTTACGGCAATGGCCCGGAAGTACCCTCACCATCTTCCCTAATGGTCATGGTCCTCTTCATTTCTTGAGCTCTTACCATTGCAGATGCAGATGTATTTCACTCTCCATCTATCTTTCTTATTTCATTCTATTTACCTTGGAGCAAATTATCTTACTAGGTAGGGTAAGATTGGGCATTCTATTTGGCTCTCAATTTCTCAATATATCCAACATTAAGATACAGTTATTCTTGACTCTTTGCCTATTGTCAATTAGGTCACTAATAACCCATAGCAAAATCATAAATTCATAGTGATAAATATTGGCAGAAATTTCATTATAACATGAAGAATTTTTTGGAAACATAATCACTGCTAAATTTACCTAAAGTTCTCTTGACTTCTTTTATAAAATGTAGCTAATATTGCTATAGTTATTATTAAGTACAGAAATTTCCTAAATGTAATTCTGTTTAAGAAAGAAGGAAAAGATGACAGAGAAGACAAGGGAAGAGAGGAAAAGAAGGTAAAGAGAAGAAGGAATAGAAAAAGAAAGAAATCTTAAGAAGACTCACCTCCAACCACTCTTGCTCCTTTCAGTGTTTGATTGAATAGGCTTAGAAACAGAATCTTGACTTCTCAAGGGATGAGAAGCTGAATGTGATGTTTGCCTTTCAAGGAAACATATCTTATTAAAGGTTAATAGTCTGTTTCCAAATTCAGAAAAGTAAAATATACATAGAAGAATAACATCAATCAGTAACAGACACACATTCATTGGTATATGTTTTTACATACCCTGTGCTCACTGTTTTCCTTAAAGAAGGCAACTCTGGATTCACTGCTTCCCAGGCCCAATCTCAAAAGATATAACAGAGAAAAAAGTAAAACAGGTAGCACTTAAAAAATAATTATTATTTCATACTTACTTAATTTGATGGTTTAAAGCTTGAAGAACTTAAAGATATGGACTTGTTTTTCAACAGCACTTTGTTGTGTACTCTCACACAGCCTGCCTTTTCATTTTTATAGATATCTTTCTTCCCCATTGTGTTTTAAGCAAAGGCAATAGTTTTATCTGTATCTTTTCCACAATCAATCCTAGTACAGTACCTTGTGCTCTGTAACACGAATTCAATGTAATCAATGTTTCTTAAACTTTCTGATTACAACCCACAGCAAGAAATATATCATAACCCAGAACACATATATGTGTGGTGTGCATGTGTGTGGGGGGTGGGAAGAACATAAAATTTCACCATCAATGTTTATTCTTACTATGTATGATACACTCTGATATTGTCTAGTCTACTATACTCTCTTCTATTTCTTTTTTTAAAAGATGGGTTGTTTCCCAACCTATCTTTCAAAATTTCAAAACCACTGATCTAGTCCTATCTCTTATTCAATATAAGAATGTTATTATATCTCTGACAGACAGTTATCCTGGTCAGAGCCTGTACAGTTCAGTATTTTAGAAGGATGCAAATTTTCCTATGGAGCAGCACAAATTGTTATTTTTCAAGGTCAACATTATGCTACTTATAAGAATACTTTAACTGGTGGAGAATTTTTTAAATGGCAGAGGATGACCAGACAAATACCCATTTATGCATATTCATGTGAATTTTTTATCCCCCAAATGGGAATAATATAAAATACTTACTTCAAATTTCTCAAATGTGAAAGAAAACAAAATAATTATAAATTTCGAAGTAGATTAAGGTCTATGGATGAACACTGGATAAAATTAACAATACAAGTATTGAGAGAAAAAGAGAGTGATTGATTTTAAAATTCTAGTTGCATAAGATCCTACTAAAGATTTTTTAAGTGTGCCCAGAAAAATGTAAATGTATATAACCGGCATGTACCAAGAATATTTCACAATGTCTTCCTGTCCATGCCTTCTTCTAAAGATAAGTAAAAAGTGAGTAAGTTTTAAGATCTCCCAGGACCCACCACCACAGCTAATTGTTTCAGAGATGAGGTCTAAACATAAAGCTAAGCCAATGTTTTAGTAACTGCACTTAAGAAGATGAGCTGAACAAAACCTCTCTGTCTCTAGAATTTAAATCAAGAGATACAGAAGGCTGTCAATATGAGCTCTGAGAACTAGAACTAAAAGGTTGTGTTAACTCTCAGCAAGGGCAATTTAGTTCATGTGCTAGTTGAAACTGTAAGGAAGCCAAATGGGTGAGAGAGTACAGAGTCAACAAATAAAGAAAGGCAACAAATGCTATAAGAGGGGAAAAAAACTAAGACCACGAGCTAGAAGTCCCTGGTCTTCTACCCTTCCTAAGGTCTATTTTTTCCCATTTTTCCTGTGTTCCCATGCCCACTTATTCCTGAGGCAACTTGAGTTTCTTCATTCTTTAGCACCAAATCTTTAAGTCACAATATCCATATGTATCTTGAAAAAGAAAATTCTTTATAATGTAGGCTACTACTTCATTAAAACAAAGCTTTCAGATTTAAGATACTCTATTTAAAATGCTAAGCCACCCTTGTAAACAAGGAAACTCAAACTGCTGTACTGGAATGTTCAGAAAGAGCCAAGTAATCCCTATATTTGGATAATGGAAAAAAGGAAAACATAAGCTTTCTATTTCCATTGTAATAAAATAGAAATGATAATTTTCTTTAGTCGTAGTTCTTATTTTCTAAAAGTTCACAACTTATTTTCTTACCTGTTGGTAGAGGAGGGAAATCATAACTGTCAGAAGTAGTACTGATACCTGGATCATTTTTAAGTGGATTGGAAGTTAATGGCTGTCTAATCCTCTTTTTCTGATTGAACAATGGTACAGGCAAACAGCCTAAATTGAATGTTTCAATAAACAGAATATAAGAGAAAAATAGTTAGATCTAGTTACAGAATAATTTGTCTACTTCTATATGTTAATTTTATATTATAAATATATTTCTAAATCTTTGGATTGGTTCTTACATTCTTTTTAAGATCCTAAATAGCCTTTGCTTCTCTAAAAACTCCTTTCTTTCTTTTTAATGTTATTTTTCAATTACAGCTTACATTCAATACTATTTTATATTAGTTTCAGGTGTTGGTGTACAGCATAGTGGTNTTTCTCTAAAAACTTTCTTTTTAATGTTATTTTTCAATTACAGCTTACATTCAATACTATTTTATATTAGTTTCAGGTGTTGGTGTACAGCATAGTGGTTAAGCAATCATATACTTTACACAGTGATCCCCCTGATATTTCAAGTACCCACCTAGCACCATACATAGTTATTAAAATATTATTGACTATATTCTCTATGCTGTACTTTACATCCCTGCAACTATTTTATAACTACCAACTACCTTTTTACCTGGTCCCCCTCAAACCGCCTTCCCTCTGGCAACCATCATTCTGTTCTCTGTACCTATGAGTCCGTTTCTATTTTGTAAAAACTCCTTTCTTGTTCTATGTTAACACTGCCTTCATTCCTCTTGTTTGGATTAATTCCCATCTCCTCCCTCATTCCCCAACCCTTTCCAAATCTACTTTTTGTTTTCCTCATTTCCCACCTATACTTGCTTGCCTATTACCATGTCAACTGGAAGGGAACCTTCAAGTACAGAAGAGGTGAGGGAGAACCAGACATTGACCCATGTTTTCCAAAACCCTAACCACTCTTTGGACACATAACCTTTAGGGCCATGGTTCTCAAACTTTAGTTTGACTAAGATTTCACTGGAATTGTGCTTAACATGCCAGTTCCTAGACCCTACTCTCATAGGTTTTATTTCAATAAATTTGGTTTGGAAGTCAAAACTCTGAAATTTTAACAAGCACTGCAGGTATCTGTAACACTTATTTTCTGTGGATCATTTTGACAACATCCAATCCAAATGAGAAAAAACAAAACCAAAAACTAAACCCATACCCTCCAGATAAAAGACCTGGGATCTCAAGTGAAGCCAAAAGTCACAATTTATAAACAGTAAAACCAGAAGGGATCTCAGAGGGAAAGAGGTTCTAAAAGCTTGCACACTGTCACATAAGAACCTAGATAGGACCCAAGTTTCCTAAATCTCAGTTTAAATATCTTGCCACTATACCATACTCTAGCTGGTCCATCAAAACATGTACTATAGGAGAACGCAGACTCTGTGATAACTGTCTGATGAAATGATGTGGGCTCCGGAGTCAGGCTTCCTCGGTTTGGATTACAACTTCAAAGTAGGGTTGAATCACACACAACTTCGAAGTATAAACTTGGGCAATTTCCTTTAAACTCACTGTGCCAATATGACATATACTGAGAGGGAGGATAATACAGTGATCAAGAGTACGAACTCCAGAGCCAGATTCCTAGGTTCAAATCCTGGTTCTGCCGCTTCCTACGTGGCTTATTTAACAGCCTCTTTGTGCTTTAGTTTCTCACCTGGAAAACAAGGGTGATAATAATAATGCCTATCTCAAAGGGTTGGTGTAAGGATTACATATATTACTACATGCAATTTAATGTCTAGAGTACAGTACATTCACAATAAATAACAGCCACTATTATCTTCGTTGTCCATTATCACCATGCCCTCTAACTAATAAATAGGGAAGCAGAAATGGTAGGGGAAGCTCTTAGGGAGACAGAAGTGCTTCTGGGAATACTTTAAATAACTCACAAATACAAATAAAAAATAAATCAATTTCTTCATTTTCAGCCTAAAAGCACAGACCTCAAGCACACAAAATTTTTAAGAAGAACCCTCATAGATCTAGGGAAGTTTGATCTTACTCCCACTTCTGCCACTAAATGTTTTGCCTTAAATTATTTTATTTCCTTGGACTTAAATAGTAAAGAGGCTAGACGACATGTTCAATCTTTTACAAAATGCTCCATCTATAAACCCACACAAGTTTTACATGGCATATACAAAATATAGACGATTTTAAAATAAAAGTTGTTCAATACCTGCTGTACTTCTAGCAGAATTTTCATTTAGGTTTCTCTTCATTTCCTTCAGTATCAAAGTCTACAACGTTCTCTTTGGCACTCCAAATTCACATGAGGTTATTTGACTAAACCTTCCAAGAAAGAAATTTGTAACTAGTATCAACAACAAAATCAAATTCTTAGCCTAGTAATTACTGAAATTAAGGTTTAAAACTATAGCTCCAAACCTGATCACCTTAACACTTTACAGAGCCTTTTGTTTCTGAGTAAGAACTAACAGCACAAACCATTTCTTCCAGCTCTGTTTGAAATAAGTGAAGACTAGCGTGGCCATAACCTTGCTTCCTAAACATGCGGGAACTCCACACGGTCTACGTAATTTATTTTGGAACTAATGACCCACAGCAAGAATAACTGAACCAGATCTGACAAGAGAGATGGACTATAACGCTGGCTTATATGCCTATAAGACCAAGGAGGAAACGTGTACCACGGAAGCAGCCCTGTGGGCACACGCGGTCTCGCTTCACAACACGGTGCTCATCAGATCGTCTGTTTCGGCCATTAGTCTGAGATCTCCGGATGGCACCCAAGACTACAGCTTCACCTAATATCCAGAATAACCGAAATGATGTTTCCACTCAGTTTCTATAACTTCAGCAAGCGGAACAAGTTTTTTTTTTTTTTCTTTTACAACAGAATTTCTGTGGCGATTTCTTTCCACGTTTAGCCTCCTAGTATATTTATTTTTTGTTGTTATTTTGGGGTGGGGTAAGGTTTTTATTTTTGTTAATTCTCACCCAAGGATATTTTTTTTTCCCCATTGATTTTTAGAGAGAGTGGGAGGGAGGAGGGGAGAGAGAGGAATGTCGCTGTGAGAGAGACACATCCATTGGTTGCCTCCCGCACGCGGCCCGGGGCGGGATCGAGTCTGCAGCCCAGGTACCTGCCGTTGACCTGCAACGGGACGTGCGCCGCTGCGGTGGGCGCGCTGAGGCCCCACCACTGAGCCACACCGGCAGGGCTCCTCCTAATGCATTTCGATCCCAGCTGAATTCCACAAACTTACTATCGAGCGAAAACGCAAAATACAAGCCCGAATCATTTCTGCCCCCAAGTTCACTACCCAACGACGCAGACGGACAGGGACACAACCAAGGAAGGGTGCAAATCGTACTGAGGTAAACATTCGTTTCCAAGGATAGAAATAAAACTTGGGGAACTTAATGGCGGGGGCTGCCTCTGCTCTGTTTCCTATCTTGGGCTTGAAGCTGGATCTAGCCGGCCCTTTAGAAAATATTCCGGATGCCATTCTAAGGAACCAAAGCGGGGGTTATGAGACTTGATCTCAGTACGGAAACGCCAACGCAACTCACATCCTAGACCCAGGGGTGCGCGGACAAAGGCTATTAGATTTCCGAGTATCTCGGAAACGGAATAAAAGTGCAAATCCCCCC